AGAGCACTAGAGTGGTTTGTCATTTCCTTTTCCAGAGCATTTTTCAGATGAGGAAAACTGAGGCAAACAGGGTTAAATGACTTGCCCAAGGTCTCACAGTGTCTGAGGTCAGATTTGAACTCAGGAAGAAGAGTCTGTCTGAATTCAGGCCTAGCACTCTAGCTTCCTAAGCTTTGAAATTGCTAGAAAAAGGCAAACTGATTGAGATCTGAAATCTGATTTCGGCTGGCTGTAAAATATCTTTACAAGTGTGGGCCACAGCAGGAAGGTAAAGACCATCACTGTTCAGGGGGCATGAAGTCATTGATATCAACATTTCTAAAGAAGTCATTGATATCAACTAGGAAGTGGACTCCATGGCTTTGGTCTGCCCAGTTCTGGCAAACATTCCTGTATATATAAAGGAATGATAAAAGCATCTATTAAATGCTTTCTATGCTCTATCTCTCAACTGTGGGAATTCCCTCTGACTTTCCCCCATGCTTTGGGGGAATAAGCATTGGAGATACAAATAGAAAGCAAGACAGTCTCTGATCTCATTTCAGGGAGCTTACATTCTAATGGGGAGACAGCATTTATGGGAGGTCTCAGCTCTAAGTCAAATGGAAAGCACAGAGAATCAGCTTTATTCAAGATATAGCAGCATACAGCAAGTTGTGCACTGGGATTTGGTACCTGAATACCTTAATCATCTGTGCATCTTGTGCAGGGACTTAAGGAAGATAGAAGCAAATGGCAGCATGAACATAGCAGGAATGTTGGATCCTCCACTTCAGGAGTGGATCTAGAGAAGTTTGAGTTCAGTGTCTCTCCATGCATGAAGAATGATGAGACTGGCTGAAGGAGAACAAGAGAACAAGAAGAGAGCAAGAGAACAGGCATTTTTTTTTCCTTGCAAGGGTGATATGGGGCATGTCTGAGATGCAATCCACAAAATCCACCTCCTAACTGTTTTGAATGTTGTTCTGGGAGATTTCCACTATTTCTGATGTTATATCTAAAAAACCATATGAAAGAACTGCTAGTCAATGTTATCATCATAGAATCTGATCCTTCATATTCGTTGCTTAGAGTGGTGATATTTTCCCTGAGAATGGGAAAATATAAATGCTTGTAGACTACCAGATTTCAAACAAAAGAAATAGAGCGTACCAGGATATCATGCCAAGAAATCAAGACATCTTAGGCTGTCTGCTAAGCAGTTAGTTTTTTAAAAGTCATTTTCAGTTGTATCCAATGCTTTGCGACCCCATTTGGGTTTTGGTTTTTTTTTTTTGGCAAAGATACTAGAGTGGTTTGCCATTTCCTTCTCTAGCTCATTTTACAGACAAGAAAACTGAGGCAAACAGGGTTAAATGACTTACCCAGGGTCACACAGCTAGTGTTTGAGCAGTCAGAAAACTGAGCAGCAGTTTTCAGTATAATCATCCTAGAATATACTCTCTCTTCATCTGTCTCTGCTAAAATTCTTCTCTTCCTTCAGTGCTTAGCTAGCTCAGGTGCTACTTCATCAATTCTTCCCTGATCACTCCCCACACTCTGCAGGTGAAAGTGATTTCTTCTGTCTCAAATTTTCCTAGACCAATTTATCTGGATCTCTTTCTATTTTCACATTATACTGATCTGTATTCATGTTGGGCCTCCTTAACAGATCATAGGCTCCTTGAAGCCAGGGACTATACCATTTTTTCATCTTTGTATCTTCATTAATTAGACCAGTGCCTTGTACATGGTAGGTACTTAACCAATATTTGTACAGTAAATGATGAAAAAAAGATAGATTCCTCTTAAAACTAGATGCCATCAAGTCCTACTGGTAAGATGATCTTCATAAGGCTAAGTAGACTGGAATAAGGCCAGCAATAGAGGGTTGAATATGGCCCTTTTCTTCTTTAAGAGAGAAGGGCATGGAGATAGAAGGAGAGCCCAGATACAATCCTAACCTTAGTTGAAGGGAGAGGGTTGAAGCAACAGCTGCTGCAGTCGTCTGTATTTTACGTGTTTAACTTCCCAGTTGCAAACATTAAGAAGGGGATGGGTGGGTGGAAGATTAGGGTTGTGGAGCAGGTTTCTCCCAGATCTATATCTATATGTGACTATGCTAATCTAACTTTATTAGATTAAAAAATCCTTGAGGACAAGGTGTGTCACTTGTTTATGTTCCATAAAGCACCCACAGTAGTATGCCATTTCCCCTGCAGTCAGGCATTCCTTTAATTTGTTAGCTTAAGACACCTGCAATAGGAACATATTCAAGACACTAAGATGAGTCATTAACTAATAATCTGCCACCATTGACATCTTACAGTTGCTGCTCTTGCTGTATCCTGTTTCATGGCTTTTAACAGTAAGTAATGACTACTTGTAAAGAAAAATAAATATTTGGTATACAATCTTGAAAGGGCAAAGTTTTCCCTAACTGGGCAGAGATATCACTAGCAGTTTGCAAATATTCTTATTGTAACATCATTGGCCATTATTATTAATAATCACACCCTGAATTCCAAATATCTTGCCTGGGCTATCCACACTACTAAATCTTCCCATTGTTTAGAGAACTGCTGGTTTTATTAAGGACAATGAAGGAAGAATTTTGGCAGTGTCTACTGGATTAGGGGTTGATTCTTCTAATACTCTGCATTCTAGGATTGGGTGCCAGTTACTGAAGGTAAAATGGCATTTGCCCATTTTGGGAGGGAAAGAGGGGAAAGCATGTTGTATTGGGTTCCGGGATAGTGGAGAGGGGGGAGTAAGCAGAAGGGGTGGAAATAGGGTGGCCAAGTTGTTTAACAGCAGATGAAGAGGCAGCAGGATGTAGTGAAAAGGGCATTTCATCTGTCTTTGGAACAGCTCTGATTTGAATATCAACTTCAACACTTATGGGTAAATCATTCCATTTCTCTGAGTCTCAGTTTACCTTATCTATAAAATGGGGATTATAATTCTTGTCCTACATACTTTATAAGGTTATTGTGGGGAAGGTGAAACTACTATACAAATGTGAGCTCCCCTCTTTTTTTTTTCTTTTTCTTTTTGGATCCAGATGTGGACTTTCATTGATGTAAGGAATTCTAGGTGAGGAATTGGTAGAGCTTCCAAACTACTCTTCTGTAGTTTGTAGTCTTAGAAAGTTGTCTCGGAGAACTGGGAAGTTAAGTGATTTTTGATGGAAAAACCATTTAACTGCTGACAGTGGTGGTAGAGAACTGGAAAGAAAGGAAGGAAGGGAGAGAAAGAGAAAGTGAGGGACAGAGAAAGAAAGAAAAAGAAAGACAGGAAGGAAGAAAGGATCTGATTAAGGATGGAAGAAAGTACTTGGCAGATATATGGAAAGAGGGGCCCTACAAACTTGATTGCAGAAAAATTCTCCAGTTCACTTCTTCTTCTTCTTCTTCTTTTTTTTTTAGTGAGGCAATTGGGATTAAGTGACTTTCCCACAGTCACACAGCTAGGAAGTATTATGTGTCTGAGGTCATTTGAACTCAGGTCCTCCTGACTGCAGGGCTAGTGCTCTATCCACTGCGCCACCTAGCTGCCCCTACCAGTTCACTTCTCATTACATCTGTTTTGTCCATGTGACTTAACCAACTCCTGTGGCTTCCTATTGTTTCTAAGATAAAACGTAAACTCTGTTTAGCTTTTTAAGGCTCACATGATGAGTCCCCAGCCTATCCTTCCAGCTTTACTGGACATTACTTTCCTCTGCCTTAAAAAGCAGCTCAAACATTATCTTCCTGATCCCTGCCACCCTCCTCTCCCCCAGGTGCTAGCAGGCTTCCTCCTAAACTACCTTGTATATAATTGTATTTATTCTCTCTCTCTCTCTCTCTCTCTCTCTCTCTCTCTCTCTCTCTCTCTCTCTCTCTCTCTCTCTCTCTCTCTCTCTCTCTCTCTCTCTCTCTCTCTCTCTCTCTCTCTCTCTCTCTCTCTCTCTCTCTCTCTCTCTCTCTCTCTCTCTCTCTCTCTCTCTCTCTCTCTCTCTCTCTCTCTCTCTCTCTCTCTCTCTCTCTCTCTCTCTCTCTCTCTCTCTGACAATTGGGGTTAAGTGACTTGCCCAGGGTCACACAGCTAGCAAGTGTAAAGTGTTTGGTCTGAGGCCGGATTTGATTTCAGGTTCTCCTGACTTCAAGGCCAGTGCTCTATCCACCGCGCCGCCTAGCTGCCCCTGTATTTGTTCTCTTGATGTTTACACAGTATATACTTATTATGTACTTGTTTTCCTCATTAGAATATAATATAAGTTCCTAGAGTGTAGAAATTGTTTCATGCTTGTATTTCCAGTGCTTACCAAAATACCTGCAAGCACATGTTAACTCTGTAAATACTGGTTGGTTTTTAAAAAGAACTCCGAGGGGGCTAGATGGAGTGGAAGAGGTAGAGGTGATATCTGTTTGGGTTGGGAACTGGGTCGTTCCCCAGAAATGAAACAAAGGGGAAAAGGCGACTTTGGATGAAAGTGAGGAGGAAAGGGGAAGCCGCAAATGTCCTTTGTGGACAAAGATAAGGTAGACGCAGGTTAAGAGGACACAGGTGGCCCTACATTATCTAAGGTCTTTTGGACTGTGCTGTTGCAGGGAGAGATAGTCTCTCCTTAGAAGTCACCTAGTCTAACGCTCTCACTTTGTGGATAAGGAACTGAAGACTTGCCCAAAGCCATACAGATACTAAGTGTCCCAGTAGGGATTCGGACTCAGGTCCTCGACTCCAAAGCTCTCTTTCCACTGCACCACCCGGTGTTAGGGGATGAGGAGCTTCCTTCTTGGCTGTGGGAATGTGTATGTGCGTGTGTGTATGGGGAGGGGGTGTGCCGGTGCCAAACTTAAACCGTTTTCGGTTCCAGTGAGTTTCCCTCCGGGTTGTCCCTAGCCTGGCTTGAGGTCGTCTCTGACTCAGGAGAGGGGCGGGGAGGGCGGGGGCCGGAGCTGGGGTGGGGGTGGGGGTCGGAGGAGCTTTTCCCAGCCCGTTGGCTCCCGGGCCGCCTCTTCTCCAGCTGGGAGGCAGAGGCAGAAGGACAGGGAGGAGCCAGAGCCAGGAGCCGCAGCTGCCGCTGCTGCTATTGCTGCTGCTACTTTCTCCAATCTCCCAGCCTCGGGCAGTCCCCACGGATCTGCCCTCTCGCTGCTGCTCTCCACTCCAGGATCTTCGGCTGTCTTCCTCCCTTCCGAAATGCTCCTGCTCTTGGGGCTCTGCTTGGGGCTCCCGCTCTGTGTAGGGCAGCAGGACCCCCTGGCGCTGGCTGAAGAGCTGGAAGAGGCGCTGAGGTGGGACGACCAAGTAAGTCTTGATGTCTTTGGCCGGGGGCGGGGGTGGAGGACAGTGGAGTGGGGAGCAGGGCCGGTCTCTGCTCTAGTCTCTGTTTGCCTTGCCTGACTTTCTCACCATCTTCATCCCTACCGCTCATCTCAGAGAGACCCCAGGAGTCTCCCCTTCTGAGTTTGCTGTCTCTGCTATCAGGTGTATTTTGCCTGGATTGCACTTAACATTTTTCAATCTCACTTTCTATCAAAGATCCTTCTCCCTCCTCCCCCCCCCCTTTCCATTTCAGTAGGGAATTCCAAGTTCGGTAGGATTCTTGGCCCCCTCACCTGCTAGGGTTGCGGCAGCTTTTTAACCCCAAATTCGGATTTTGGAGCAAGAGAAGTTCCTCATCATATTTTTAGGATATTTGGGATGTGGCTTCTTATTTAATCCATGGAGGGCAGGTTCCTCTGAATCCTCCCTTGCAGGGTTCTGGGAAATGTCTTCAATCTACAAACTGGGGTAGTCTTTATTTTTCCATCTGAAAAGTGGGGAAAACACAGTACCCATTCACGATATTGTGAATAGCTCTGGCTACCTTAAACTATACCAGAGATAGTGACAAGAGCCTTGGAATCGGTGGCAAAAGACAAGTTGGAGACCTGAGTTTGAGTTCCGATTCTGCCATTATCTAGTTGTGTGATTTTGAGCAAGTTGAGTTTCCTCAGCCTTTCAAGTGAGGAGGTTAGAACAGATGATTTCTAAAGTCCGCTGCTTAGGAGCAATATTTAAGGGATACAATATAGACATAATACTTAACAGATGACTTTTGGGTTGTTCTTAAAATAATTTTTATTGATATCTTTTATTTTACAACACTCATGTTTCCCGATGTACCTCTCCCTCTTCCTCTCCTAGAGAGCCATCACTTAAAATAAAGAATTTAAAAAGAGGAACCACAACCACGACAACCCTTCAGCCAAACTAATCAGCACACCAAAGAAGTTTTATAGTATAAACAGTGTTCAGCATCCGTGGTCCCCAACCTCTGCAAAGAAGCTGGGGGTATTTTCTCATGGATTTTATGATTTCAAAGCATTCAGTTTCTATTGCTTGGTGCTATTTTTTCCATTTACATTGCAGTCATTGTATATATATATATATTTCCCTGGTTCTGCTTATTTTACTTTGCATTGGTTCATATAAATCATTCCTTTCTTCTCTGTATTCTTCCTATTCATCATCTCTTATAATAATATAAGTAATTCACTCCCTCCCTGGAGGGAGAGAGAGAGAGAGAGGGAATTAGCATTTATATTGTGACCTACTATGTGCCAGGCACTGTCCTAAGCACTTTTTACAAATATTATCTTATTTGATCCTCACAATAACCTTGCAAGGTAGGTGCTATTATTTATTCAATTTTACAGTTGAGAAAACTGAGGCATACAGAAGTTAAGTGACTTGCCCAGGGCCATACAACTAGTAAATGAGGCCAGATTTGAATTCAGGAGTTCCTGACTACAGGTCCAGTGCTCTGTCCATTATATCACCAATCGCTTCCAGTTACTTTATCCACCACAGTTCATTTAACCATTCCCTGGCAAACGAATATCTACTTTGTTTTCAGTTCTTTGCTCCTACAAAAAGTTCTGTTATAGATATTTTAATGTATGTGAGGCAATTCTTTTCTCCACAAACTTCGTTGGGAGTGACATGCCTAGCAGTAGAAATTCTAGGTCAAAGGGTAAGGACATTTTAATGACTTTCATTGCATAATTGTTTTCCAGAATGGTTGGACCAGTGCATAGCTCTGTCAACAATGCACTAGTGTGCCTGTCTTTTTACAAACCCTCCAACATTGACTATTCTAATCTTTTGTTAAACATGATATTTTACCATCTGCCTTTATATCTTCATTTTTTTTTCTGTGAAAAGGAAGCCTTCACAGAGTACTACTGGCTGCCAGCATAGTGAAAATTTTTTGCAATTATAAAATCTTCAATGGGTGAAATGAAGGATGTGAAAACTCTTTGAAAAGCATAAAGCAGTATGTGAATATAAATGTAAAATGTTATATGCTTATGGATATTAGGTGTCATCAACAGTTATATTTTGGGAAAAATACATAGGTATCTGTTTCTTCCTAGAATTCCATAGTAGATACTGAAGAAAAAACCCATGGGGGCATCATGATGGGTGTTTCAATGTTGCTTTTGCTCAATGGATGTCCTAATCTTTAAAGGGTGAATAATTTTACATGTAATTCCCAGCGATATAAGAAGAGAGGTGGGGGAGAGAGAGAGAGAGAGAGAGAGAGAGAGAGAGAGAGAGAGAGAGAGAGAGAGAGAGAGAGAGAGAGAGAGAGAGAGAGAGAGAGGTGTAAATGGAAAAGCTAAAATGGAAAGGGAGGACTTCTGAAAATCGCAGGACTTCCTAAAGAACTCAGGGTAGTGGCATACATCTAATCTGGGTGTGGGGATGTTGAGAAATCCAGAATGATAAGTTAGTGCAGGCTTCATTTCTTTTCCAGTATTCTCAAGGCTTTGGAACCTAACACATGGTAATTTTCATTCTTAATGAGAATTTCATTCTCGAAAATGCTCTGCTGTGTTGTTATTATACTGCTGAGTTCCATCAATTCCTCTTTTAGAGATCCTCAGCAGGAAGTTCAGAAATATTTTTGCATCAGAGGGGTGGCATGGCATAGCTAGTGTGTGGGGCCCTAAAGTGGAAAAACTGGGTTCTCTTTCCAATTCTATCACTCACTTGCTATTTGGCAGTAGACAAATTACATTGTCCTTTTGCATTTGTTTTCCCCAAGGCACAAAAGTGAGTAGTAATTTTCTATGGGCAAATAATGATGTATCCTTCTTATCTCCCAGGAAATGATCTGAAATTCTAACTTAAAAATGCACCTTCCTCTCCCAGTGAAAATAGTTAAGTGCTGAACAACCTGTAGGTATATTATGCCAGCCGAAGGAAAAATTTTGCATGGTTGATGTGTAATTACTCAAATTGGAATATGTCCAGACCACTGTGGCTGTATTATTCCTTGACACAGATGATAGATGACAACTCCAGTGGGCCAGTAATCTCTAGCCCTTGGTTAGGTTTCAAATTTGAAACAACTCTATTTGGGAACTCCCACCATGTTGGGTCATGAACTCTTTCAAGAGGAATGCTAACCACTAGGTTATTGCATATTCATACAACTATAGAATCTCAGGGTTAAGAGGAGCATCAGAGATCATTCAGTCCAACCCATACATGAACCAGAATCTCCCATCCAACCCCTACCCCCACAAAGTTTCCTCTATGGGACCACACCCAAACTGTTGGGGTAATGAGCCTCTCTCTTTTTTCTCCCTTCTTCCTTCCTTCCTTCTTCCTTCCTTCCTTCATTCTTTCCTTCCTTCCCCTCTTTCTCTTTCTTTCTTTCTTTCTTTCTTTCTTTCTTTCTTTCTTTCTTTCTTTCTTTCTTTCTTTCTTTCTTTCTTTCTTTCTTTCTTCCTTTCTTCCTTTCTTTCTTCCTTCCTTCCTTCCTTCCTTCCTTCCTTCCTTCCTTCCTTCCTTCCTTCCTTCCTTCCTTCCTTCCTTCCTTCCTTCCTTCCTTCCTTCCTTCCTTCCTGACACCAATTCTTCACCACACATTTACTAAGTGCCTACTATCTGGGAAGTGCTGTGCTTGGTCCTAAGGGTACAATGAAACAGTCCCTACCTTTAAGGAGTTTACATTTCCTTGTGTCCTTGTGTGGCCTTCACATGTTCTTAGATTCTGCCTAATTCTACTATACCTCCTGACCTGGGCATAGACAAACTCTTTTTCTTTGGGTTCTTAAGGGAAAAAACCCTAAATTTTTACAATCTCTTCTATTCCACTCTCCTTAACTTTCTTCTTTCTATTTCCCCCTCTCTTCCTTTTTTAATTTCTCCTGCTTCTCCCTTCCCCTTCACTCTCTATCTCCCCTCTTTTCTCCTTTCCTCTTTTCAAAGCTGCGCAGGAAGGGTCCAACGACTTAAGCAAACCTGACCGTAATGACCTGAGACAAGTCTAAATGAAGAGTTACTGAGAAGATTGTTGGGAAGCTGCTGTGGCTCTCAGGGCCCATTCACTCCATTTACTTCTCCTGTTTTTCTGATCTGAATCATTTCTGCCTTCATGCCAGAGGGGAATGGGCTTTTCCTGAACCAGTACATAAAGAAGGTTAGGTCTTCCAGAGAGGAAGACCTTCCTATGCTCTTCTCCATTGTTTAGATCTTGTGAATGTCCCAAGCTGTCTCTTCTCCTTTCCTCACCTCCCACTCAACTCTGTTGGCCCTAGGACTAGTCAGAGAAGAAATATATCTCTCTAACTGGGGTTTTAAGGTGTTTCATTGTACTTGTTAACTGCCTGTAATTGGAAATGTTTTGAAGAAGAGAGGAGTCTAATATTCAGGGTCTGGATGCTATTACTGCTCTTACTCTGATCCACGGGAGGGAAAAACTTGGTTATTCATCTTCCTGCCTTCGCTGCTGCTTTGTGCTCTCACAGAGACTAAGGCTTGATTAGGTAGTAGGCACACAGCTGATTGGAAAAACTCCTATGCCTGTAGTCATTGTCAGAGACTTCTAGAACTGGAGGAACCTTGAAGACCATCTAGTCTAAATCCTTTATTTTAAAGATGAGGAAATCAAGATATTTCCCACTTATTTTTCCTTATTTATTCCCTTTCTCCTCTACATAATCAGCTCCAGTCCCCTGTCTATTATTTAATCAACAAACTTTTATTAAATACCTACTAAGGGCCAGATACAGTGCTAGAGGATGGAGATACAAAGACAAAATGGAATCATCCTTGTTCTCAAAGTACTTAAATTCTATTAGGGAAGGCAACATATAAATACATACATACACACATATATAACGAGTATAACACACACAAGAGTAATGAGTAATGTGGGAAGAATCACCAGCAGATAAGCAGGATTAGTAAAGCAGGACCTGGTGTTTGGGATGAGCTTTGAATGAAAGTTAGGATTCTAGGAGGTGGTG